ATGTGCAGTGGGTCACTCGCTGACTCGCAGGAGTGAACTGGTCAACCCCTCGATCCTGTAGGTCCGCTCCACTCACCAAGTTCGTAGAGAAAGAGGGGAGGTAGAGACCAGACAGGGTGCAAGAGGGGGCTGTAGGGCACGGAAGGACAGTGGAGAAGCTAGCAAGGACAGGACCCCCAGAGGGGTCTGCCAGGGAGACTGCAACCGGCTCACAAAACGGCATAAGAGTGGTGCGGTCTTGAAAGAAGGAGCGGGACGCACCCGAGTCAAGGGTGAAGGTGTGGAAGGCATGAGCCGACGTAGTACCTGAGAGAGCAGACTCACCAGTACCTGGGGCAGCAGACGCTCTAGCACCTGGGGCAGCACACGCACTAGCACCTAGAGCAGCAGCCTCACCAGTACCTAGAGCAGCGGCCTCAATGCCTGGGTCAGGCGGTACACACAGGTAACAGGCACCCTCAACACTATCAGCAACAGCATACATGACAGCAAGAATAGCATCAAAGTCAAGATCAAAGATAGCAACCCCGGCCTTAGCCAGATCTCCCCAGCAAGGGATCTCTGACGCCTCAGGGAACTGGCGACGCCACGCGTCTGTCAGGCGACCAAAGCAGTGCTGGGTGGAGTGCGGGCCTCCGCACTGCTCACCAGCACGGTCACCGGTACGGAGGACGTAAGAGCAGGGACCAAAACCCCCACCGCGCTGGCGCGCAATGTACCACTCACGAAGCTGCTGAGGGGACAGGGTCACACCACTCCGCTGCTCCTGCTGGCGCTGACCACCACCGCCGCCACTCCTCTGCGCAGAGTCGCGACTCGCTCCACCACCGCCGCCTCCGCCTCCGCCTCCACCGCCTCCTCCACCTCCGCCTCCTCCACTGCCTCCGCCGCCTCCGCTCGCTCCGCCACCTCCACTGCCTCCGCCGCCTCCACCGCTGCCGCCGCCGCCGCCACCCCCAGCACCACTCCCACCACCGCCCCCACTCCCTCCACCGCCTCCACCACCACCTCCACCGCCCCCTCCAGCCCCTCCAGTGCCCTTGCCCCCCTTGCCCTTGCCGGTGCGGCGTCTCCCGCTCGGGGCAGACGCAGCGCCGACCGACTCGAAACCAGCGAGGTCGGCCGCAGCAGCAGAGGCAACAGAGGGCAAGAGGGGGGAGGGAGAACACCCCTCAAAGACGGGGGTGCGAGGGTCACCACGAGAGGCTCCTACAGCGACTATGCTCTTCTCTATCGCTAGGAGGGCCTTCTCAAGGAGGTCAACGGTGAGAGTGGTGGGGCAAACAGAGAGGAAGTGGTCCCTCACTACCCGAAGAGAGTCAGGGAGCCTGGTGACTATGTAGTAGAGGGTGATGTACATAGGGGGGGGGGTTCTTGGCGCAGAACTCAGCAGGAAGCGCAGCGCGATAGCGAGTGTCACTAGTGCGGAGGTGCGTAATGAGGTCAGCGACTATGGGAAAGGCAGCAAGGTCAGGGAAGAGGTACGGTAGCATGAGGCGGCTCAGTGCAGCAGTTGCAGGGGAAGAGTAGCGCGCAACTACAGCGTCGTACAAGGTCTGAGCACTCTTGTATTGGCTAAAGTGTGCACCCTCAGTGGTCGGTAAGTGGCGGCGCACAGCAAGGCGAGCAGCAGCATCACGTGTGACCCACTGTGAGCGAACATTGGCGTCAGCATCAGCAGCAGGGGCAGGGGAGGCACCAGAAGTGAGGTCAAACAGAGAGAGGCCGTCTGCCCTATCGCACTGCAGGAAAAGCTGCAGATCATTTACCCAGACCTCAAAGTCCACTGCCCGACCCTCAGCGTCAAAGGTGAGAATGCTAGGGGAGGCCATAGCAGCAGTAGGTAGGTAGTGAGTACAGTGGGGTAGGGCAATGCAATGGCAGAGACTATGCTCGCACCAAGCAAGTGGGGCGATCGGGCTGCTCGGCGGCTCGGCTGTCGGGCGGCTTGGCTGCACGGTGCTGGGCAGCTCGGCTGTCGGGCGGCTCGGCTGCTGGGCGGCTCGGCTGCTGGGCGGCTCGGCTGCTGGGCGGCTCGGTTGCACAGTGCTGGGCGGCTCGGCTGTCGGGCGGCTCTGGCTGCTGGGCGGCTCGGTTGTCGGGCGGCTCGGTTGCTGGGCGGCTCGGGCGGTCGGGCGGCTCAGTTGGCCGGCGGTTCGGCTGCTTGGCGCTGCGGGCGCTGGGCGGCGGGGCCGTAGGTGGCGGCGAGGTCGCAGGTGGCGGCGGGGCCTTAGGTGGCGGCGGGCCGCAAGGGTGGGCTGGGGCCGCAGGTGACAACGGGGCCGTAGGTGGCGGCAGGGCTGCAGGTGTCGGTGGGGCCGCAAAGGGGCCGCAAAGGGGGCCGTAGCGGGGCCGTAAAGGGGGCCGTAAGGGGGCATACGGGGCCGCGAAGGGGGGCCTTGGCGGGGCCGCAAGGGGTATGACAGGGCCATGGAGGGGCCTAAGCGGGGTCGTGAAGGGGCCGTGAGGGGTCTAAGCGGGGCCGCGACGGGGCCTAGGCGGGGCCGTAAGGGGTACGACGGGGCCGTGAGGGGCCTAAGCGGGGCCGCGACGGGGCCTAGGCGGGGCCGTAAGGGGGTACGACGGGGCCGTGAGGGGCCTAAGTGGGGCCGCGACGGGGCCGTAAGGGGCCTAAGCGGGGCCGCGACGGGGCCTAGGCCGGGCCGTAAGGGGGTACGACGGGGCCGTGAGGGGCCTAAGCGGGGCTGCGACGGGGCCGTAAGGGGCCTAAGCGGGGTCGCGACGAGGTCGTAAGGGGTCAGACGGGGCCGTAAGGGGCCGTAGAAGGCGGTGCGAGGGGCCGTAAGGGCGGCCAACAGTGGCCACTAAGAGCGGCTCGAGGCGCTACTCGGGTTAGGAGCGAAGCGCGCTTCGGGCAGGGAAGGAAAAAAAAGTTCGTGGTGGGCCCTAGGTAGTATTCCCACTCGGGAACCTGCTCGATACCATGACGAGAAGTGAGAATGGATGAATGAACTATGAAACAGTTGGGTACAAGTATTACCCCTAATTGGGTTGTACCCCTTATGGGCTACCCCACTACAGCCTACACAAATGTATAAGCTATAATGTTCTGACATGTAAGGTACATGAACATGAGTCATGACATGACCTATTATTCAAACAAAGAATCCTTAGTGCCATGCTGTGATTTGCACGTCGCTATGTCTGATTATTTATCTGTTTATCGTCCTTCAGTGCATCATACAGAAGGTGTCAGTGTTGGGATGGAACAAATCCGGCATGACAGCAGGGAGTGTACCAAAGCTTTGTTAGACCGTGGATCATAAGCATGACAAAGAGATATCCACAGCAATCTCAAGCTTGTTCATGAACGCGAACCAGAATAGCTTGATCCAAGATCGCATCACTTATGACATAACTTATTCAGGATGCTTTATCATAAGCCAAAACAGTCAAAACCCTCCTAACTCTACTCCCTCGGCTGCACGGCATCCACGCCATGGATGATAAACAGCTTCCCTCTGAAAATCGTCGGAGTCTTAATCTTTGCCTTGCCCTTCCCGATCGCCACCTTCTTCTTTCCAGTCTTAGAGTCCACAACCTCCGCCGTATCCACTATGTGACCGTTCCCGTTCTTCAATCCTTAAGCGAATTTTAGGTCATCCTCCTCGTACACTCCGTCCACAATGTTCGCGCGAATCCACTTCCCGTACGGGGTAACCTCGTCGCGTGTGAGTTTGGAACGTGTGAACGTGGTAACCATGTCAGGCGCCGCGGAAACGATGGCCGTGTCGTCGGGTAGGAGGACGGTTTTCCCCTCGGTGTTGGCGAGGTACTTGTCCGGTGGGTTCCAGTCGTTCTCTGCATCACATGAATCACAGAAAAGGGTTGAAGTAGTAACGTGGATACAACGACTGCACGAAAGCAGCAATAAACGTAGACGGGGGACCTAGTCCTTTTTGAAAAAGAAGGAAAAAGTAACATGATTTAGTACCCATAGCCGGAACGATTTGGTCCATCATTGCGCCGCTGCTCTTGTATTTTCCGTTCAGTTTGGGGTCATTGAGTGCTTCTCAGGCCGTCTTCACCTCGTTGATCAGATCCTCCTTGCTGGGCCGCGCGGCAGCTGACGCCAGCAGCAATGTGAACGTGCAGACGGCGGTGAGAGCCGAGAGCTGCCTAGACGGCCCCATGGCGCGTGCGCAGAGAGAACCTTGAGTGACTGTAACTCTAGATCGTAGGAGCATAAAAGGCTGCGAGGGTACACGTAGTAGTACGTGAAGACTCTGAGGAGAAACGAGGGTCAGTGCCAAACGTGTGTGTTTTTTGTAGGCTCACCTGGCCCAAGGTATCAATTTGAGAGGGACAGTCGCTTCACAGTCGATCACGCCTCAATCATCAACATGCGACGCGACTCCAACTTCCTGCTGGTCACCTGGACATCATCCCATCCACCTGGATTCTGCTTCTTTTGCCATTTGCGAAATGATGGCGTCCCAGCGAGCCGAGATGCGAAAACAGAATGATGGCGAAATGTAGAACAAGGTTTCAATCTTTCGTGTTGGGTTGCACACCAGACGTTCTGTTGGACTGAATTCACGCGGGAAAATGTTCCGACATACACGGCGGCGACGGGCTTGATGGGGAAATCTTCCCAGATAATAGCGGGATAAAACTACTTCTCGTCACACTGTATAGCGCGTACAGCACTCTACACGACTGTTATTTGCACTATGGCAGGGCCCCATGCCTCTGCTGTTATCTGTTTACGAATGTAGTGAGAGGATTTGGCCAAGCTAGTTGGGGCTAGGAGATCTGTTTTTCGTAACGAAGACTTACTTGCTTTACAGCGAGGACGAACGAATCGCCTTATCGTACTCATTCATCCACTGAAACGCTGCTTCTCGCGCTCACTTGCCTACGAGCCCACCCCAACCACACGCCTTCCATCACGCTTTCTATACGGCAGCATATGAGAGGAGAGGGTGTGGAAGAATTTCTGTCAACAAATCTGCAGATTCTTCCTTGTTTTCCAAGCTATGGGGGACATTAACATTGCTCTGCTTGTTATTGCAATTGTTGTATCATTGCTTTCCATCGCCGTCAGTATTTATCTCCTCATTAACTACCAACATCCAGATGACTCGAACCAAGCGTACTTTCCAAAACTTGTCGTGGTAGGGGAACTGGTTTCTAATAATATCCCAATAATCCCAACGACATAAGTCCTCGCATATTCTTGGATCTCTCTCGGATCGTATTGCTCACTGCTGCGTTGGTGGTGCGGAGAACATGTGATGTTTATACTCAATAGACGCCGTTTGCTTTGCGCAGGTCATTGGTCTTACGCTTGCACAGCTTTCAGTTCTCATGCTTCCTGCGGACGTTTCGAACCGGCAAAGCTGCATTAATGGCTTTGTGAACGGAGATTGCTCTGAGACTTTACCCATGAGAACTCTGTGGTACATCCTTTGGATTGCTATGTGCGTCATGGTCTTCGTCATCATCCCTTTTTCCATCTTTTTGTACGAAGGCGATGAAGAAAAGTAAGTGAGTTGGCTAGAAGGCAGTTGAGTTAGTTTCGCTTACCATCGATGACTCAGCTTTCATCGTGTGCAGGGGTACCGGGAAACGGGTATTGCTCGCGGTTTTGTGGTGTCTTCTATCAGTGTTTGTGTTCGGGGGACTCCTTGGAATTCTTTATGGTAAGCCGGAGAATAGATACGATTTTATTCCCTGCGTCAAGTGCTTCTCATTGGTCCTATGACAATTCCATTTCAGGATTCGTTGGTTACGTGGAGTATCCTGTAAAGAGGCTGGTCTCTGCGACTATTCCCATGACGAACGACTTTAGCTCGCTTGGCAGTCAGGCTTCCTGTGTTTCCTTGTATAATACTGGTCTGGGCGCGGTGAGTGAGAAATGGTCACCTTATGGTCCCTTCTTTTTGTGGGATACGCCTAATATGTTATTTGTGTGAAATTAGTGTTCTTCTTATGCTTCTCCTCAAGGATCCAAGACCACGTGGACACTGAGGGTCTCGTTTCCGAAGTACATTATTGCATTATTTACGATACTGGGGTCTCTCTTATTCTCAGTAAGTACTATTGTCCGCGGCTCCCTCTCAATCAGATGCTCAGATTGACTGACGCCTGCGTTTATGCAGATTTTTGGTGGTGTTGGCATAGCCGTCTTGCCACTTTCATCTATTCTTTCCTTTCTAAGGCGTCCAAGAGCCACAATAACTCGCTCGGAGTACATCAAGGTATCAGCAGTTACAAGTAATTTAAGGTATTGTTTCATATTCATAGTTCTCCTAACGTTACACAACGCCGATTCAGGAAGCCACAGCAATTGGGAAAAAAGCCAAGGAGATACATGAACTTGCTGTTACTCTTCAGCAGGAGGAGAGAAGTGGCGGTAAAACTTGGGCATGGAGGCGAAATGCAAAGAAGTTGCAGCAGGTAAGGATGGATTGTCAGAGGTTCTCAAGCTCTTTAAGTAATGGCGTTTCTGGAACAGGCTCTTTTTCATTTGGAAGAGGAGGAAGCTGAGCTTCGAGAAAGATTTCCCCAAGGAGAAGAAGCAGAGATGTTCTGGGCTATGACAGTACTTGTCTACATTGGGAAACTAATATTTGGAGTCATTGGGTAAGATAATTGGGCTGATTACAATGTTAATTCTCGTCTTGTATTCTAATTGCATCATTCGCTCTGCAGGCTTGCCATTTCTGTTGCTTGGATTGTGCATATAATCCTATATATGCTCATACAACCACCAGCGTCGGCTTTCCTGAACGATTGTTTTATAACCCTCGACCGGTGGTGGGGTGAGTGCCCGCGATATTTGACGTTATCATCGTAACACACTCAATGTGATATCCGTTTGACCTGCAGGACTGCTCGGAACAGGGGCATTTTCATTTTTTTGCTTTTACCTCTTCCTGGCTGTAATTTCGGGGGAGATGTACCTTGGTCTCAACATTCTGATCCTTTCAATTCATCCCATGAGGTGTGACACGTTCCACGTCTAATATGTTCGTTGTATTTTGGAGACTTATGTGTCAATTTTCAGGTGGAATTCTACCCTCATGAGTTCGTTCTTATTTAACGTGGCCCTCATACTTTGCTGTGCAACGAGGTAAGACGTTCAGTTGCTTGGTTGTGTATGTCGTGCCTCTGCTGACGCCTTGTACTCCTGACGCAGTGCAATACAATTTTGTGCTAAGGCCTTTGCTGCATATGCACAAGAAACAGCAGTGCAGGAGATATTCGGTCATACGCTAGAAAATCTTCAAGGCATACGCTACCTATACGTGTACGTGAGGTCGTTTCTTCTGTTTTCTAAGACGCATGAGAGCTCTTCTTCATACACGTTTTAAAGGGTTCTACATGTGCTACTGAGATCTTTACAGGTTTAACTTGTTCCAGTACATATTCATTGTCATGTTTGTTGTGACATTCATTTACTTCTTGGCTGTGGTAAGTGCCGGACCATTTCTCAACCATTCCAACCGCATGCCTTGTTTGTGTGCGGCTAGAGTGCTGGGAGTGCATAGCAGCAGTATGGTTGAACTGTGGTACCGAGTGCTTGCAGGAACAGAAGCGATGGAAAAGAAAAGGAAAGAAGTGAGCCCATACTTCAACATGGAGCTGGGCTGATGATTGGATCAAACTGCAGAGATAGGTCAGATGTATCTACTGCATGAATTGACTATATTTTGCAATCTTGCACCTGGTTCGAAAGTATATTTTTTATCACGGTACATCAATTTTGGATGGTTACCAGCAAAGCACTACTGCCATTCATCACAAGACGTACAGTGTTTGGACATTCCATCAGCTCATGAGACATAAAGTGAGGCAGCAAATACAATGTCTCTTTTGATGGCAGCAGATCCCGCCTCCATGGTTGCCATGAGCTCTGCATTCCCCAGCAGCCTAGCGGCACTGCGGAACTCTCGACATGTCTCATCGAGCCGAAGAATGGTGCGCACGATAGTTCCCTCGGCCACGTTGGTCAGCGGACAGATGTCAGCGAATGGCGTGCCCTGGGGAATGCAGATGGGAAAGTGAAGCAAGGGAGATGCAATCTAATGAGCCCAGGTTGGTGCCCTTGGCTGCGCTGCGTAACAGTTGGACGGCGAGACAGGGAGTGGGTGACTGATTATGCACCTTGCTACACCACGTGGCTACATCTAAGGTGCTATCTGGCACAATGGTCAAGGGGAAAGATGTTGCAAAGTACGAGCGGCGAAGAAATAATCTAACAGAAAGGGGGGAAACCCTTCAGCAAAAGAAGAGGAACGGTCGTAGCAAGCCGTACAGGTAAAAAGAGAGATCGAAAGAGAGAGGGGAGTGCGGGAGACACACCAGAGCCCACTCGTAGACCACCTCCATGAGTCCAAAGTTGAGAGTGGCTGCTGCATACTCTTCTGCTGATGTGGGCAGCCCCACTCGCCTCTGCAGGTCGCCCAGGAAGTATGCCAGGTCCAGCAACCTGCAGGGGCCGGCATGCGGCAGGCATGGAGAGGCATACGCATTGTGGTGTGGCGTGCATAGACAGGAGATACAACAGGAGCACAAGTCTGCAAGGGCACGAGCTTGGGGTCGAGACGATTATGCCAGTTTTGTTTAGTACAGGTGCGAAGTTGGAGGAAGATGTTGAAATGGGTCGACGGGTAAGGGGGGGTAATGATGGGATTCTGGTCGTGAAGGAAAACTCACGAGGTGCAGCGGTCTGGGGTGGGGATGGTGCGCGGATACAAGCCAAAAACAGTGAATGCAGCTTCCTGTACTGCAGCCACCCAAGCCATACCCTGGGCCTGGGAAGCAGGCCAGTGTTGAGAGAATTCAGAGCCAGGTGAGCAGACAGCTAACTGCTCTGCAGAGGCATTTCTGCCCCTGCCCAATCTAGAACGTATGCATCCCCACCTTTTCCCCATCCCCGTGCCACCACCCACCTCCTGGGTTGGTTCAGTGTAGCGGGAGAAAAACAGACATCCCTACCGTACCCCATCCCAGCCCAAAACCACCTCTTTCCCACTAGCCCCTCACTTGTTCCTGCGCTATGAGTTGGCTGCGGGGGACATGTTGCAAGTCAAGAGCCAGGAGCACAACACATAGCTTCCCTCCCTCATCCCAGCCCATTTTCTCCCCCTCACACCGCCCCACTTGTTCCCTCAACCCTTCTCACTTGTTCCTCGCATGGGCCAGCTCCGCAGTGAGCTGGGGCGGCGACGCGTCCTTTTGCTGGAAAACAAACGCCGAGAGCAGCGCGACAGCAGCGGGCGGCGAGAGGGCGGCGAGGTGGTGGTTGAGCAGGCACTCGGTGGCGAGCAGCTCGTCAGCGCTGTTCATCTCACACGCCACCCGCCCCTTGAGCTGCACTATGCGATCTGAGTCTATGAAGGCCAGGGTCTGAAGCACCTCCACCTGGGGGGGAAAGGTTTCGGGTTTTGAGAAAATTGAGTTATGCGCTTTAAAAAGGAAGAGGTTCAGGGTTCTGAGTGTAGGAATCAAGAGGTGAAGAGGTTTGGGGTGTGTGAGAGTGAGGGAGTGAGGAAGCAAGGAGGTGGTGGTGCAGCAGGCATTCGGTGGCCGCAGCTCATCGGCACTGTTCATCTCACACGCCACTCGCCCCTTGAGCTGCACTATGCGGTCCGCGTCTATGAAGGCGAGAATTTGGAGCACCTCCACCTGGTGGATAAAGAGGTTTAGGGTTGCAGTTTGGACTTCAGGGTTTAGAGGGAGAGAGGCAGTGCGCTCCTTGCACCCCTCAGGGCTGAGGTTCAGAGATTAGAAAGCATGGGCTTTAGGGTTCAGAGATTAGAAAGCATGGGCTTTAGGGTTCAGAGATTAGAAAGCATGGGCTTTAGGGTTCAGAGATTAGAAAGCATGGGCTTTAGGGTTCAGAGATTAGAAAGCATGGGCTTTAGGGTTCAGAGATTAGAAAGCATGGGCTTTAGGGTTCAGAGATTAGAAAGCATGGGCTTTAGGGTTCAGAGATTAGAAAGCATGGGCTTTAGGGTTCAGAGATTAGAAAGCATGGGCTTTAGGGTTCAGAGTTTTGAAAGCATGGGCTTTAGGGTTCAGAGATTAGAAAGCATGGGCTTTAGGGTTCAGAGGTTAGAAAGCATGGGCTTTAGGGTTCAGAGGTTAGAAAGCATGGGCTTTAGGGTTCAGAGATTAGAAAGCATGGGCTTTAGGGTTCAGAGATTAGAAAGCATGGGCTTTAGGGTTCAGAGATTAGAAAGCATGGGCTTTAGGGTTCAGAGATTAGAAAGCATGGGCTTTAGGGTTCAGAGATTAGAAAGCATGGGCTTTATGGTTCAGAGATTAGAAAGCATGGGCTTTAGGGTTCAGAGTTTTGAAAGCATGGGCTTTAGGGTTCAGAGTTTTGAAAGCATGGGCTTTAGGGTTCAGAGATTAGAAAGCATGGGCTTTAGGGTTCAGAGATTAGAAAGCATGGGCTTTAGGGTTCAGAGATTAGAAAGCATGGGCTTTAGGGTTCAGAGATTAGAAAGCATGGGCTTTAGGGTTCAGAGATTAGAAAGCATGGGCTTTAGGGTTCAGAGATTAGAAAGCATGGGCTTTAGGGTTCAGAGATTAGAAATCATGGGCTTTAGGGTTCAGAGTTTTGAAAGCATGGGCTTTAGGGTTCAGAGTTTTGAAAGCATGGGTTGTAGGGTTAGGAAGCAAAGAAGCTTAGGTTAAGATCCAGGAAACGAGATGGTGGAGCAGTTATGCGCACTTTTCAGAGCCGCACTGAGCACACCCAATGCACTCACTCACCCATCTGCACCTCACCCCCTGCACTCACCCGCAGGTGGAAATCTGGCAGCTGCTGCAGTGCCTGGTCGCTCGTCATTGCCTTGAGCTGCTCCACCTGTGGTTGGGAAGAGAGGAGAGGAGGAAAACAGGAGCGAAGAGGAGAAATGGGAGGAGGTAAAGGCCAGAAGCAGTTGCTGCAGAGGCTGGCTGCTCCTTATTGCCTGTAACGGCCACGCTGTACCAGGGACAAATGTACTCAATTTGCACCACATTTGGGCATAGGCAAACTTTATGTGCTATGACAGGCGTCACAAATGGCTTCGTCAGCAGTGACTGACAGCAAGTACAAACAGACTTACTGGGTAAAACAGCTGGCACAATCAGGATTCAGACCATACCTGTTGCGACAGCTGGCGGCGAGAGGCGACCGCAGTGTAGTGCTCGTCCAATCGGTGGCACGCATGGCACGGGCTGCGTGGCAGCAACTCCCGTAGTGCCAGCTGGCGCTTGTGCATGGCTGCCGTTGCTGAGTCAGCGATCTTGAGGTCTGATGTGGATGTGGCAAGGAAGACAGGCAAAACCAGCAAACTTGGGATGGGATCCATAAGAGCAGGAGGCGCACAGCAGAGTGGACTATTCAAAAGCAATACTATTTGGAAATGGAACAACTCGATCAAGAAACCTTTATGTATGGATAATTGGGCTAGCCAATAAGAGGAGATGACGAGAGGATATGGAGAGAAGAGAACCTTTGATGGGGTTGATGAGGGGAGGGTCGGCAGGAGCACACTCCTCCCGAACCTGAACCAGCGCCTGCACCACTGCAGCATACGCCGGCACCCGAACCTCCTCCAGCAGGCTCGGCACATCCAGAGCAACCTTGGCTCGGCACACCCCCACGAGCTGGGCGGCAGGGATCTGCTCCACCGTGTAACACGTGCCCGCTACAGTGCCGCGATGCGGTAACCGCATGTTGACGACTATAGGCCCGTTGGGACCCGTGCCCAGCACTGTGACCTGGTTGAAGGATCGACCCACCCTCGTCTCCTCCTCCCTCCCTTCCTCCTCTCGCCCCGCCTGTCCATTCCCAGAGCCCTCGCCGCCGCGTCCGTCGCCGCTCTCCCCACTCTCCCCCGGTGCATGTGCAGCAGAGGAGCGCGGCAGGGAGAGCACAAGGAAGGAGTGCTTGGCTGGCGTGGGGCCGAACGGGCCCTTGAGCAGCGCTGCCACGTGGGGTGACGCCGTCTGAGGCGTGGGCGGGGAAGGAAGGGGAGGGGGAGAGGGAGGGGGAGAGGGAAGGAGGAGGGAGGGAAGCGGGGAAGGGGAGAGGTGAAAGGGAGACGGGGAGGTGAGATGGCGAGGGGAGGGGGGGAAGGAAAAGCGGGAGGAGCACTTGCGTGGAAAACACATACACAGCGATGTCAATATCTGCATCGTTGTTGTGAGAGCGCATGTGATTTCGTTCTCCATAAACCATGATGTGACCAATGCTGCTGCTCCACCAAACCCCTTCCCTCGCCCCCATCCTCATGCTCTCGCCCCCCGCTCTCCTCCCTACCCCCTTTTTCGTTCTCCCCCTTCCTCCATCCATGCCCTCCTCTTCTCACATGTACACAGCACAGCCAGCCAGCCACCCACTCACCTCGGCCGGCTGCACCAATACGACCCTGCCAGGTGTCAGCAGCTGAGAGGCCTGTCGGGACCGCATGACCACGTCATGCAGGGCTGCATCCAGCTCACGCGCCTCACTTGCCACGTCATAGTAGTGCTCTATGAGCGAGGGGTCGCCCAGGATGCAGCTGGGGAAGGGGTGTGAGGGAAGAGGGCGACAGAGGAGAAGGAAACAACGAAATAAGGAACCAAGGAGAAGGAAAGTTTGAGAGACCAGCACTTGCCATGTCATAGTAGTGCTCTATGAGGGACGGGTCCCCCAGGATGCAGCTGCAGGGAAGCGGTTGTGAGAGGAGGGAAACAGAGGAGAAGGAAACAGAGGAGAAGGAAACAAGGAAAGAAGGAACAGGGAAGGCTGAGGCCGTCACTTGCGACGTCATAGTAGTGCTCTATGAGGGACGGGTCGCCCAGGATGCAGCTGCAGGGATGGGGGTGAGTGTGGGTTAGGCGGGGATTGATGGTAGGAGAACACGGAGGATGCAAATGAGGCGAGCGAGATGGGAGAAGGGAAATGAGACTGAATTTGACACCCTCTCATGCCACGCCTTAGTTGCAGAGAGTGTTGGTTGAACAAGGTGTGCCGCCCAAGCAGCTGGTCAAGAGAAGTTGCGGACTCGGCAATGGCTTAGCAAGCATCACATGATTCGATTTGAGGATTATGGCAAAAGGAACAGGGGACCGAGAAGGTACGGTACCTGATGGGCTGGGCGTTGGCGAGCTGGGCGAGGGCGTGCTCGCCCGCCTGCAGCATCTTCTGCTGCTGGGGTAGCAGGCGCTGTGCATGTGCCTCCGCAAAGCTGCGCTTCAACATGTCTTCCACCTGAGGGGGGGGGGGGTTGATGATGGATGGAGTGAGATTGCAGAGGAGGAGCATAGCAGAGCAGTTGAGGAGGGAGAATTTGTTGCTCCTTTTCATGTGTCTCTGCAAAGCTGCGCTTCAACATGTCCTCCACCCGGGTTCGGCGGCGTGGAAAGACATTGCAGAGGGGGGAGAATCGTGGTGATGGAGTGGCATTGCAGGTGGGGCGCGTAGCAGTAGAGAAGCGGGGATTCACTGCTCCATTGCTAAGAAGCCTCTGCACAGTTGCGCTTCAACATGTCCTCCACCCGGGGGGTGGGGGCGTGGAACAGCATTGCAGAGGGGTGGGTGAGAGATGAGGGAGGGTGAGAAAGGCACGGTGGGATGGTCAACTGTATCCTCTTCACGCCCGTACTGCAGCAGCCCACTCACAGTGAGGTCCTCACCGTGCAGCAGGTTGAGGAGAGAGGCGTAGGAGAGAGGCGTTGGAGAGAGGCGTTGGAGAGAGGCGTTGGAGAGAGGCGTTGGAGAGAGGCGTTGGAGAGAGGCGTTGGAGAGAGGCGTTGGAGAGAGGCGTTGGAGAGAGGCGTTGGAGAGAGGCGTTGGAGAGAGGCGTTGGAGAGAGGCGTTGGAGAGAGGCGTTGGAGAGAGGCGTTGGAGAGAGGCATGAAGGGGCGGCCACCTATAACCTGGTTCCCTTCTCGTCACCCTCGCGCTTCTGGGCTGGGATTCACTCACAGTGAGGTCCTCGACGCGCAGCAGGTTGAGAATCATGGCGTAGGAGAGGCGATGAGGGGATGTACACTCTTACTCCTCATCCTTGTGCTGTGCTGCTTGTCCCACTCACTGTGAGGTCCTCGACGCGCAGCAGGTTGAGAATCATGGCGTAGGAGAGGCGGAACTGCGACTCCAGCTTGGTGGCCTTGCCAGTCAGCACCCGCCTCAGATCCACCTCACTTGGTACCTCCTCGCCCTCCCAGCAGCAGATGATCACCGTGCCAAACTGCCGGAGGGTGAGGGCGGAGAGGGGACGGTGAGGAAAAGGACGGTGCAAGGAAGGGTGCAGCACAGCCTAAGAAAAACCACTTATTCATGTGGAAAGGACATTCCCGGCCTCCCAGCAGCAGATGATCACCGTGTCAAACTGGAAGGGGACAGGGGAAGGGAGGGTGCAGGGACAGGGTGTCACACCCCACATTTCCCCCACGCCCCCGGAGCAGCAGACGATGACCATACACAACTGCAGGGGACAATGAAGGGGTGCAGCACGACAGTGAAGCGATGGTGAATCTACTTGGGCCCACCTCTGCAGCAGCAGCAGCAGCATGCACAAGGAGCGGTCAACTCATGTAACCTCGTCCTATCAGTCACGTGTCTTGGCTTGTCAACACTGAAACCTGACCTCACACCATCCCTGTCTCACCTTGTCCACTCTGCGCCTGCCTGCCCTCCCTGCAACCTGCGTGTACTAAGGGCATGCAGAAGCTGCAAGCGACGATTCACATCTCTCACCTTGCCTTATCAGCTCCCATGTCTCTGTTTTATCATATCAACAGCCTTACCTCACAACTCGTCTCACCTTGTCCAGTCCTCGCCTGCCCGCCCTGCCGGCCATCTGCGTGTATTCCCCTGGCAGCAGCATGCGGAAGGAGCGCCCGTCATGCTTCTTCAGTGCATGGAAGGCGACCTGATGGAGGGGACGAGGGGAAGAGAAGGGAGAGGAGAGAGGAGCGAGAGATGAGGGTGAGTATGCGAGCAAATGCGCTTCTTGAGTGTGTGGAGTGGAAGGCCAAGTGATGGAAGGGACGAGGGGTTGAGAATTGAAAGACGGGAGTGAGCATGAGAGACAGACGGGCATGAGATCTTGAGCAAAACTTGAACTAGTTCGTTGCGAACTGGATCGAACCACGGTCATAACTGAACCGAACGCCTAGTTGCGCTTCTTGAGTGCGTGGAAGGCCAGTTGATGGAAGGAAGGGCACAAGGAAGGGATGTTGAGGGGCCAAGTGAGCGAAAGGGTGCAAGGTGAGGGAGAAATGGGGAAAGGAGAGAGGAAGAGATGAGGAGGGCGGGAAACAGGGGAAATCCAATTCCATGTCATCCATCTGACCAATCCCATGTCATCCATCTGACCAATCCCAAGTCATCCATCTAACCAATCCCATTCATCCATCTGACCAATCCCATGTCATCCATCTGACCAATCCCATCTCATCCATCTGACCAATCCCATGTCATCCATCTGACCAATCCCATGTCATCCATCTGACCAATCCCATGTCATCCATCTGACCAATCCCATGTCATCCATCTGACCAATCCCATGTCATCCATCTGACCAATCCTGTCATCCATCTGACCAATCCCATGTCATCCATCTGACCATCCATCAGCTGCAGTTTACAGCATGGGCAGGAAAGTTGATATCGATGGGTGATTTGCATCCAGTGCATATCACCCCTCACCACCCCTCCAGTAAAGTAAAACACGAGCAGAGGTGATTAATCTATGAAAGAAAGGAGGCGAACAGTCTCACGTACTTCAAACCAAACCATCACAAAACGTTGGAAGATAATAACCCCCCCCGACAAAGAAGACTGAATTTGGGAATTCTGGATGGAAAATGAAAACTAACCAACCAAATCAAGCTGTTGAAACACATTTCCTCCATAACAAATTTGTGTAACTCAGAGCACTCACAGTGCGGGCAGGGGCATTGACGTTCAGAGGCGCCTTAAAACTCACAGTGCGGGCAGGGGCATTGACGCCTTCAGAGGCGCCTCAAAACTCACAGTGCGGGCAGGGGCATTGAAGCCTTTAGAGGCACCACAAAACTCACAGTGCGGGCAGGGGCATTGAAGCCTTTAGAGGCGCCTCAAAACTCACGTTGCGAGCAGGGGCATTGACGCCTTCTGAGGCGCCTCAAAACTCACGGTGCAGGCAGGGGCATTGACGCCTTTTGAGGCGCCTCAAAACTCACAGTGCGGGCAGGGCATTGAAGCCTTTAGAGGCGCCTCAAAACTCACGGTGCGAGCAGGGGCATTGACGCCTTTTGAGGCGCCTCAAAACTCACGGTGCGGGCAGGGGCATTGACGCCTTTTGAGGCGCCTCAAAACTCACAGTGCGGGCAGGGGCATTGAAGCCTTTAGAGGCGCCTCAAAACTCACGGTGCGAGCAGGGGCATTGGCGCCTTTAGAGGCGCCTCAAAACTCACGGTGCGAGCAGGGGCATTGACGCCTTTTGAGGCGCCACAAAACTCACGGTTAGGGATGAGCAAAATTCCGAACGCCTGTTCGGTTTGCCTCGAATATGTTCGAGACAAACCGAACAGGCTATTTTTTTTGCCTAAATTGTTTGGGTCGAACATGTTCGGTGTTCGGCCGAACATGTTCGAAGTTCGCCCCAGAATTTCGGGTCTCCAAGCCGAACACGAACATGTTTGTGTTCGACTTGGGGGCCACGCGAACACCAAAAAGGTTCGCGTCAAAATTGGCCGCGACCAGATTTAGGTCGCGACTAATTTGTGCTTGAGCTTCCAGGGCTGGTGGATCCATCTCACCAAAAAGCTTCCACGGCTGGTGGATCCATAGGCCGAGGTGCAGGCAGGGCTCAGGGCAGCGCACCAGGTTCTCCACCACGACCTATGCAGGGGCGAGTAGGGGATGGACCGGGAGGAGCCGGCGCGATCTTCGTTGGGGGGTTGCTTACCGTACCGGCGCCGACCTCTCGTCGCTCTTTCCGTTACGACGGCCCTCGACCCCCTCCTTCGGGGCAGACGCAGACGCAGCCGGAGAACGGCAGTGAGGAGGAGGATGAGGAGGAGGATGGTGAGGGCGAGAAGGAGGAGGACACTGAGGGGAGCGAGGATGACAGCGAGGCGGGGTGGGACCCAGAGACGCATGGCGGTGGGCAGGGGGGAGATGATGATGATGAAGACCACGAGATAGATCGGTTGGAGCCAGAGGGGCGGGAGGAGGAGGTGGGAGAGGGTGGAAGGGCGGCGACAGAGGCGGGATCACAGCATGTGCGTGAAGGGGGAGGGAGCGTGGGGGTTAAGGTGGGGGGGAGAAATGCCGTGACCATTAGGGAGCCGAGGCAGAGGAAGAAGGCCAACAAGTTGAGGGAGCGGGCGTATCCCTGCACGTTCACTGGGGAGCCCTTGGGCGAGGGTGTGATCGCTCCCGAGTTCCTAGACGAGGACGGAGGGTCCGAGAGTAGTAAGGGGACTAGCAAGGGTAATAGGAAGCTGGGGTGGCAAGTAATGATGTTCGGACTGTTAGGGGCAGAAGATAAGCGTCAGTGCAAGATTTGCACAGACAGGATTTCGTGGAAGAAATCCACAACAACCCCCGGCGAGCGGCACTTTGCGAGCTTCCACACTGCACACATGCATGTGTGGCATCACCGTTACCACACCCCGTCCGTTCACTTGCCAGGGGAGACGTTTCCCTGTGGGGGCTACAAGGGAGTGCCGGATGGCTACGTCTATCAGTGGCCACATGCCAAGACTTGGCCGCAGCTCGCCAAGGGGAAAGGGATGGCGACTGGTGGAGGTCATGGGTCAGGCGGGATGGAGCGGTGGATGACAACCAAACTGACCTCGGTGCAGCTACGGCAGGCGATCACGAAGCTGGTGGTCACCTGCGACCCCCTTCCGCATCGTCGAGGCCGAGGCTGTAAGTGCCCCATCCCATCCCATGCATGACTGGGCAAGTATGTGGTTAGTGGACGGGTCTGTCCCTTTGTGTTTTGACTGTTTGCGTGTGGCCCAGTGCTATATTATTTTCATCCCATCCCCCTGACGTTACTCCCCTCTCCCCCCTTGTCTCTACCCCTCTCCAGTTTCGTTAGCTACTCATCCTGCTAAACCGCAACTGCGAGCAGGAGAACTTCATCCCCTCGCGCTGGACGGTTTCCCGCGACACAGTGGTCTATGCGGCTGCCGCTCTTCGGTCAGCCATTGCGGAGATGCTGGCGAAGGAGGGGGAGCTGGGGTGCAGGGTGTCGTTCACCATCGACATGTGGACGGCGCCCAACAACAGGGCGTGGCTAGTGGTAACGGGTCACTGGATCGACGAGAATTACCAGTTGCGCACAATGGTGTTTGAATTCCGCGAGATTCACGGGCGTCACACGGGCAAGCAAATGGCGAGGGTGGTTGAGGAGACGGTGGTGCAGTGGGGGTTGGAGACGCGTTGTTTTGGGTTCACCTCAGACAACGCCTCCAGCAACACTGCCGCTTTCAGATGGATGTCGGAGGAGGGTGGTGGCCAGTGCTTCTTCAACTCGCGCATGCACTTCCGGTACGAAAGGGAGTGTGCGTGGGATGTGCGATGAGGGAGTGTGGGTGCGTCGTTCCTGTGAACATTTTGTGGTTGTAGTACGGGCGGGTGGGCCTATGCGGCTTGAGAGTGGTAGTGTTTCTCGGATCTATGCCAATGTGTACTCACACTTCCCTTTCTCTCCGCCATTAATGTTTTGTGATGTGCGCAGATGCCTGGCACACGTGATCAACCTTGCAGTGAAGGCAGCACTCGCTGTGACCGCCATCCGCAAGTTGCTGAAGATTCTGAGAGAGATGGCGTCGTGGATAGGCTTCTCGCCGCAGCGCTCAGGGAAGTTCTTGGGCCTTCAGCGGACCGTGAACGCGCAGGGCAACCCCGCCAAACCGAAGCCGGCATTGAAGCTGGTGCAGGACATTCCCACACGCTGGGGGTCGGCCCACAACATGGTCGAGCGAGCTGGGGTTCTGCAGGAACCCATCTCTGTCTTCTTTGCCCAGACATAGGTGTGTGTGTGTGCCAGGTGTTGTATATGCGGTTTTATGTGTTGGTATGTCGGGGTGTTTTGTTCTGGGACTTGCACCACTGTTCGCCATGCTTGACTAAACTTATCGGACCTCCAACAACCTCAACCACCCCACTTTCCACCCTAACACCCGCCCACCCATACGTTCTACCCGACATGGCGTGTCGAAGGCTGACAAGGCGAAGCTGGACACCTTGCGCCTGACGGACGCAGACTGGGAGACTCTACATTCTGTCAAGACCTTCCTCGGCCCATTCGCCAAAGTCTCAAAGGCCGCGGAGGGAGCGGCGTAACCTACAATGGCGATGGTCTTGCCATACTACAACGGTCTGATCGACGCTATGGAGTCGCGCCTTGCCAAGGGGCCATCAGCTACGCTGAAACCGATGATTGAGGCGGCGTTGGGTCTCTTGAAGAAGTATGAACTGATGTCAAGCAACGAGTTGTGGATCGCGACCTTCCTGGACCCTTCCATGAAGGCGGCGTGGTTCGACGACGCGCACTGGGAGACGCTGCATCCCGACACCAACCGAAGGGCGAGGCCTCGTCCCTCGTCAGGCGAGGTGATCCAGCTGGTTCGCGAACGCGTGGCCGAGTACCAGGCCCGGGCTGCAGCGATTGCCCCTCGGCTGACCCCACTTGCCCCAGTGACGGAGGAGGAGGAAGGAGACGCGGCGGATGACGACGAAGACGCCGAGTTTCTCTTTAGTCGCCGACACCTTGCGGCGCGTCTGTCGGCGAGCCAGGAGGCGGGGAGGGGTGGGATGGTGCAGGATGACGAGGTTGGCAGGTACTTATCTGAAAGGGTGCGGTGCGACGTGTCAGCGTTGGAGTATTGGCACAGCGCCACCAACATGCAGACGCTGAGGCGCATGGCCCGGGATTATCTTGCCATCCCTGCCACGTCCGCGTCGAGCGAGCGCGTGTTCTCCCTCGGCCGCAACCTCATTTCCTGGAAGCGTCACCGCCTAGCCTCTCAGGGGACGCGAGCTTCCATGATTCTCAGATCATGGTACAGCTCACACCCTGGACAGAGGATAGGCGAGGGCCGCCGTGCAAAAGGCGAGGCACCACCAGAGTTCGCCATTGAAGGCGAGGGGGAGGATGAGGACGACGAGTGGGAGGAGGAGGAGGGGGAGGAGGAGCAGGAGGGGGTGGGTGCTGGCGACACCTCTGACGCGGAGCATGCTGTTGTTGGTAGTAGCAGTGGTGTGCAGGCGTAGGATTTAATTTGACAGTGACTTTTATATAGGCAAAACATGATGGTGTCGTATGCTAGTGTGCGTTGCATGAACACATATACACCCTCCACCCTCCTATCTATCTTCCCAACCCTCCAGATTCCCTGTTTGACCAATGTGACTAAAACGAAATCGCCCACGGGCGAACTCGAACATGTTCGAGTTTGCCCACATATACCAAATGTTCGCCCCCATGGGCGAACGACGAACACCTCCTGCTTGCCAAATTGTTCGCCGAACCGAACCTTGTTCGGTTCGGGAAATGGTGATGTTCGAGCGAACGTGTTCGAGTTCGCCCTTTGCTCATCCCTACTCACGGTGCGGGCAGGGGCATTGACGCCTTTTGAGACGCCTCAAAACTCACGGTGCGGGCAGGGGCATTGACGCCTTTTGAGGCGCCTCAAAACTCACGGTGCGGGCAGGGGCATTGACGCCTTTTGAGGCGACTCAAAACTCACGTAGCGGGCAGGGGCATTGACGCCTTTTGAGGTGCCTCAAAACTCACAGTGCGGGCAGGGGCATTGACGCCCATGGCAAATGTCTCCGTGGAGAAGAGCACCTGCCCACGCATGATGGCGGGCACAAACGGCACAGAGGAGAGGAGAGAAAAGCAGAGCGGGACATGGCACAGCGCAGGGGGGGGGCAACTTCCGAAAATGAGCCAGCATGAAGCTTGGTTGGTGGTGTAACGCACTTGTGTGGGGATTTAAACGCACTCCTCCTGGACCAACTTAATTGATGAACTGATACGACAGCCTTACTCGGATGAGCCCGGAGCAAAAGAGAGCATCTCCCTCCACCACCTCCTTCACAACTGGCAGCAGCTGCTGCTGCCGCCTACCATGTGTGTGCTAGCTAGCTAGTGTATGCATGCGCATGAATTCATGAACCATGCACACAGCCTTACTCGAATGAGTCCGAAGCAGAAGAGAGTTTCCCTCCTCCACCACCTCCTTCACGATGGGCGGCAGCCTCACAATGGCCTACTGCTGTCCACTACCGTGCATGATGCACCGTTGTGCTCGTCATGTGGACCAACCGGCCGTCACACGCAAGTGTGCTACCTAGTCCTAGACTATGCACATGCATGCGTGCATGCAAAGGGCCTTACGCGGATGAGCCCGGAGCAGAAGAGCAACTCAACCACCTCCTTCACGATGGGCAGCGGCAATCAAAACCCACTGCCGTTCACTACTCCAGGCCGTGCACTGCCGTTCACTACTCCAGGCCGTGCACTGCCGTTCACTACTCCAGGCCGTGCACTGCCGTTCACTACTCCAGGCCGTGCACTGCCGTTCACTACTCCAGGCCGTGCACTGCCGTTCACTACTCCAGGCCGTGCACTGCCGTTCACTACTCCAGGCCGTGCACTGATGCTCTTCACGTCGACCGACTGACACGCGCATGTGTGTAACCTACCAAGTGCATGTCTATGGACATGCATGCATGCAACGAGCCTTACGCGGATGAGGCCAGAGCAGAAGAGCATCTCCACGACCTCCTTCACGATGGGCAGCAGCCCTGCATGGTGCACCCCGATGCCCCTCCGCAGCAGCTCCGATATGCGCTCCACCTGCCAGGTACGTAGGGTGCCAGGTGGGGGGTCAGGTGGTGGCAGGTGAAGTGTCAGGTGGGGTGTCAGGTGGGGTGTCAGGTGGGGTGTCAGGTGGGGTGTCAGGTGGTGTGGGTGAATGAGTGTGTCAGGTACATATCAGGTGGTGCGTGCCAGGTAACGTGTAACGTGCATTGGTACGGGCAAGATTAATTGCATCCCACCCAAGGCATGGGGTGTTTGCCAGGAATCCCTCCCAGATCTAACCCGTGCGCACGGCTACCATCTTATAACAACAACGACCCATAACGCCAGCTTTCAGTCTCGAATCCATCTGTGACTGGTGCACAAGAAAATCCCCACCAACCAACCGCACTGCACCCATCACGCTAAAATCGCACTGCACCCATCCCACCACAACCACACTGCACCCATCCCACCTGCCGCAGGTGCCTGTCACTGCCTTTAAGGCGAGCGAAGGCGGAGTTGCAGAACATGACGATGGCGCTCTTGTCGCTCTTTGATGTCAGGTGCACATGTTAGAATCACACCCAACCACATTGCACCCATTCCACCTACACCAACCGCACTGAACTCAACCGCACCTGTGGCAGATGCCTATCAGAGCCCTTAAGGCGTGCGAAGGCGGAGTTACAGAACATGACGATGGCGCTCTTGTCACTCTTTGACGTGAGGTCCACTGAGGTCAGACTGTCCGCTGACTCGTCACAACGCCGCTTGGAGAAGCAGAACACCACCACCTGAGCACGGCACAGAGTGGAGGGGGCCACCGTTTGTGGGAAGGGGTGGGCGAGAGTTGTTGCTCGTTAGGGCAATTACTCGTCGCAGAAGCAGAATGCTAGCTCCTGGGCATGGAAGGGAGGGGTGGTGTAAATACTATGAGACAAAACCATGCGTCACGAGAGGACAGAACAGGAGAGCAAGTCGTGGGAATAAAAGACAACAGAGGAACTATCACTTCAAGGAAAATGAGGAGGGGAGAGCAATGCACAGGGAGCAGCTCCTGTTTGCCGAGCAGGTTCACAAACTGCATCCATTCCGTTGCCATCGACTGCCGAAACTGAGACTGGACCATGAGAGGACGGGGTGAGAATCAAGGGAGGGGAGGGGGGCCGGACGTACAGGAAGCAGCTCCTGTTTGCCGAGCAGGTTCACAAACTGCATCCACTCAGTCGCCATCGACCGCCGGTACCGATCCCCTCCCCCTCCCCCCATCGCCGCCGCTATCGCCCTCCCCGCCGCTGCCATCCCTGCCCCACGCCCTCTCCCCCCTCCCCCTCCTCCTCCTCCCCCTCCCCCTCTCCCTCCTCCCCCTCCTCTGCCGCCCCGCCCCGCCTGCCCGCCTCTCCCCTGCTGTCCCCCATGCCCGCCTGCTCCCCCTCCTCCTCTCCCTCCGCCCCCTCGCCCGGCTCCTCCAGCCTGCTGCGCGGGGGGGGCGTGCTTGGCCTTGTGTGCGGCGTGCACGGCGCGCAGAGCAGCGCTGTCGATGTCCCCGCGGTCAAAGATGCGGTGCAGGCGCCCGCCGTAGTAAATGTTGTGCTCCAAGGGCACTGGGCGACGCGTGGTGCTGGGGGAAAGGGAAGGGATTGAAACAGGTGTAAAGGGGTAGTCAGGAGATGTGGTGCAGACGCCCCCAGTAGTAGATGTTGTGCTCCAAGGGCACTGGACGCCGCGTGGTGCTGGGGAGTGGAGGAGGGGAGGCAAAAGAAGGAATCAGTAAGGAGCAAAGATGCAGTGCAGGTGACCGCCGTAGTATATGTTGTGCTGTGCTCCAAGGGGACTGGACACCGCGTGGTGCTGAGGGGAGGGGGGGCAAGTGGGGGTAAGAGGGGAGGCGTGTGGACACAGATGGACAGTCACTGCTGTCCATGTCCCCAAGGTCGAAGATGCGGTGCAGTTGACCGCAGTAGTAGATGTTGTGCTCCAAGGGCACTGGACGCCGCGTGGTGCTGGGGGGAAGGGGAGGGGGAAGGGGGGTTTTGATGGGAGTTGTTGAAGGTGCAAAGAGATTGAAAGGGGTGGGACAATACAGTGCAGTCGTCTTGCGTAGTAGCTGCTGTGCTCCAAGGCCACTGGGAGCCGTGTGGTGAGGGGGAAGGGGGCAGGAGGGAAAGGAGGGGGCGGAGAGGGGTAGGGAGAGGAGGATGAAGGAGGCGAGGGGGAAGGAAGGAACGTGGTTCAATTAGGACTGGTATGGCGTATGGAAGATGAATGTTGAGTAGACAGAGAGGGAGGGTGGATACAAGGAATATGGCATGTGGCTTGGAAGAGCACGGACGACAAGTGAGGAGAGTGCTTTAGTCAGGCAGGGACCCACCCAGCAAACCCATCCCATGCCACCCACCCTGATTGCCACCCACCCTGTGACGAAAATCTTCTTCCTCTTGGTTCTGCCGATCCAATCCGCAAACTCTGTGGTGTTGGGTACCTGTGGGCGAGGGGCGCAGGGGAAAGGGAGCCCGCTACTGTGACCACGTCACGCGCATGACTGCTCTGCTCCCACAACATGCCGTATGATGCACGGTGCATGTATTTGTGTCATGTACGTGTGGTGCATACTGCATGGTGAGTGGAGTGTGGTGCATGCTGCATGGTGAATGGAGTGTGATGCATGCTGCATGGTGAATGGAGTGTGGTGCATGCTGCATGGTGAATGGAGTGTGATGCATGCTGCATGGTGAATGGAGTGTGGTGCATGATGCATGGTGCACGCACAGTGGCAGAGAGATAGATGAGCGTGACGAGCACCATGTGGGGCGGCGGCATGATGATGAGGTGTGGTACTGTGCATGGTGCATGATGATGAGGTGTGGTACTGTGCATGGTGCATGATGATGAGGTATGGTGCTGTGCATGATGCATGATGATGGTGCAGGCAGGGTTGGGTGCACGGGAGGGCAACTGACAGTGGCGGAGAGCATGATGAGGCCCACGTGGGGAGGCAGCATGATGATAACCTCCTCCCACACCACCCCGCGCTCCATGTCGTTCACATAGTGCACCTCGTCAAACACCACCTGCACGTGTTGAGAGCGGTTGAGGGCAGTTAGAGCGGTTGAGGCATGAGGAACACAACACAAGGGGTGCATGGCTTTATGTCGTTCACATAGTGCACCTCGTCAAACACCACCTGCATGTGTTGAGAGGGGTTAAGAGCGGTTGCGGCACGAGACACACAACATACGGGCTGCATGGTTCCTTGTCGTGAAACAGCACTTGAACACTTGCACGTGTGTGTGAAACATGTAGTGTTTTGAGTCGACTCAAAGTACAAACAGCACGCACCCATTCAATGTCCTTAATGATGTCAGCAGCGCGGTACAGCATGGAGCGCATGATCTCTGTGGTCTGGTCATGATGACGCAAGCACGCTCGGGGCGCACACTCGCACACACATCACATGACACCAACACACCCACGCTCACACAAATGCATGTGCACAAACCCATTCGATGTCTTTGATGATGTCAGCAGCCCGATAAAGCATGGAGCGCAGGATCTCGGTGGTCATGATGAGGCAGGCGGCCTCGGGGCGCACACTAAGGTCGCCCGTCAGCAGCCCCACGTCGAACCGCTTGCTGAAGTCACGGAACTTCTGGTTGCTGATGGCCTTGATGGGCGACGTGTACACTGCCCGCGTGCAGTGCTGGTGGCGGGGGGGGCGAGGGGAGGGAGGTGGGGAGGAAGGAATTTAGGTGATTGCAGGGGGGGGTGTAATTGTTGATGGCATTCGAGTGAGGGGACGAGTGAAGAAATGAAAGGTTAAGCCATGGGGAGCATGGTGCACTTGGGCATGGGGAGCATGGTGCACTTGGGCATGGGGAGCATGGTGCACTCGGGCATGGGGAGCATGGTGCACTCGGGCATGGGGAGCATGGTGCACTCGGGCATGGGGAGCATGGTGCACTCGGGCATGGGGAGCATGGTGCACTCGGGCATGGGGAGCATGGTGCACTCGGGCATGGGGAGCATGGTGCACTCGGGCATGGGGAGCATGGTGCACTCGGGCATGGGGAGCATGGTGCACTCGGGCATGGGGAGCATGGTGCACTCGGGCATGGGGAGCATGGTGCACTCGGGCATGGGGAGCATGGTGCACTCGGGCATGGGGAGCATGGTGCACTCGGGCATGGGGAGCATGGTGCACTCGGGCATGGGGAGCATGGTGCACTCGGGCATGGGGAGCATGGTGCACTCGGGCATGGGGAGCATGGTGCACTCGGGCATGGGGAGCATGGTGCACTCGGGCATGGGGAGCATGGTGCACTCGGGCATGGGGAGCATGGTGCACTCGGGCATGGGGAGCATGGTGCACTCGGGCATGGGGAGCATGGTGCACTCGGGCATGGGGAGCATGGTGCACTCGGGCATGGGGAGCATGGTGCACTCGGGCATGGGGAGCATGGTGCACTCGGGCATGGGGAGCATGGTGCACTCGGGCATGGGGAGCATGGTGCACTCGGGCATGGGGAGCATGGTGCACTCGGGCATGGGGAGCATGGTGCACTCGGGCATGGGGAGCATGGTGCACTCGGGCATGGGGAGCATGGTGCACTCGGGCATGGGGAGCATGGTGCACTCGGGCATGGGGAGCATGGTGCACTCGGGCATGGGGAGCATGGTGCACTCGGGCACAATTCACGGCAAGCAAGAGGCATGGCTGTGTGGGCAGCAAGCATATGCAGTGCAGCACTCACCTTGGCAGCGAGGGCGAAGGCGTATTCGGCCACGACTGTCTTGCCCGCTGAGGTGTGCGCCGCCACAAACACCGACTCGTGGCGCTCCAAATGGATTATGGCCTGCCGGGGTATGGGCGGTGCATGGGCGGTGCATGGGCGGTGCATGGGCGGTGCATGGGCGGTGCATGGGCGGTGCATGGGCAGTGCATGGGCGGTGCATGGGCGGTGCATGGGTGGTGCATGGGCGGTGCATGGGCGGTGCATGGGCGGTGCATGGGCGGTGCATGGGTGGTGCATGGGTGGGCACAAGAGGCACGGAGCACGAAAAGAGAAGAGGAGACAGAGAGTGGTCATGGCCATGTGGGGCTGGATGGTGGTGGTCATGGCCATGTGGGGCTGGATGGTGGTGGTCCGATGAGAGCTATACTACAGTCTACAGGTCACAGCACCTACATGGTGTGCTCCCTATGCCATGGCACCTACATGGTGTGCTCCCTATGCCATGGCACCTACATGTTGTTAGTTATGTCCCACCTCTTTCTGGAAGGTGTCGAGGTGGAAGGGGAAGGTCATGGCCATGTGGGGATCGTGGTGTTTGGTCTGATGAACGCTATACAAGTCACTCACGGCACCTACATGCTGCTCACTGCTCACTATGTCCGCACCTCTTTCTGGAAGGTGTCGAGCTGGAAAGGGAAGGTCATGGCCATGTCGGGCTCGATGGTGGCGAACTCTCGGTCCAGATCCGGTATGCCGTCTGTCACTGCCCACGCCCATGCATGGCCCTGGGGGGAGCGGGGGGAGAGAGAGGGGGGAGGAAAAGAGGAGGAGAGACGGTGCACTGTGTGTTTCTGTCGGGCTCGACTTCTGATCTGAGGCGCCTCAGAAGTGGGCTCGATGGTGGCCAACTCACGGTCCAGATCCGGTATGCCGTCTGTCACTGCCCATGCCCATGCATGGCCCTGGGGGGAGCGGGGGGAGAGAGAGGGGGGAGGAAAAGAGGAGGAGAGACGGTGCACTGTGTGTTTCTGTCGGGCTCGACTTCTGATCTGAGGCGCCTCAGAAGTGGGCTCGATGGTGGCCAACTCACGGTCCAGATCCGGTATGCCGTCTGTCACTGCCCACGCCCATGCATGGCCCTGGTGAGATGCAAGGTACGATAGATGCGTGGCCCGGGTAAAGAACGGGAGGAGGAGGTAAGAGGAATGCGTGCGGTAGCTCTGTGCGTCTCACAGGCCACTTCCACCCCTTCCCCTGGGGGTGCATGGTTTGGTGTGGCATTAGGGATGGGGCAACTTACAGAAATGAAGAAACAGTATCATGTGGCACGGTGCATGAACCGGCACTTCTGAAACCAAAGCAGCAGCAGCAGCAAAGCAGAAGCGGCAGAAGAAGGATTACTTCCTTGGAAGCAGCAGGGCGGGAAGCAGACGGCGCAGCCCCCAGCAGCCCCAGGCCCGAGCCAGCAGTCCACCACTCGAGGCTGCCAAACGCCCCCCTGCCCGCCCCCAGCAGCGCATCCACTGCTGCTGCCGCCCCGCTCTTCCTCTCACCGCGCTTGCCCTGTGGTGACGGCCGTGCGGTGGCTGTGAGGGGTGGGTGGGAGGGAGGGAAGAACGGGGGAGCGGAGAGAGGAATCGGGATGGCATCAGATGGAGCGGTAATGGACGGCTGCACAGGACAAACGACGCGCCTTTGGCAGGGCTAAAGGCCTGAATGCATGGCACAACACATCGGAGATTGATACGACAAAGGCTTGAATGAATGGCTAAAGGCTTGAATGAATGGCTAAAGGCTTGAATGAATGGCTAAAGGCTTGAATGAATGGCTAAAGGCTTGAATGAATGGCTGAAGGCTTGAATGAATGGCTAAAGGCTTGAATGAATGGCTAAAGGCTTGAATGAATGGCTAAAGGCTTGAATGAATGGCTAAAGGCTCACGACTAGCCATTGCTGCAGCTGCAACTTCAATGCGTGTATGGGACTTCCGTGCAAAGCGGCCAATCAGCCTCATGGATGAATGTATGTGCCCTGTGTGAGCTGTGTGTCCTGCCGCTGCCACGCACCTGCAGAGGAAACCATTTCTCCGGCGCCCATTCCTCCTCCCACCACCCCCTTCCCTTCCTCCCCTTCTCCCTCTTTCTCTCCCTCCTCCTCCTCTCCATCCTCCTCCTCGTCCTCCTCCTCTTCCTCCTCTTCATCCCCCCCAGCACCCCACGCCGTTTGAAACACATCTGCAAACCCAAGCTTCCCGCTCTCCCCCTCTCCTCCCCCCTGCCCACCCCCAGCCTCCCCTTCAGCCTCTCCCTCTCCCCCTTCTCCCCCCTCCACACCAGCAGCGCCGCTCCCTGCTGCCCCTCCAGTGCCCGCAACCTGCGCCTCCTCAGGAGGCACCTCTGAGACCTCCTTTGGGGGGGTGGCCAGCGCGCGCAGCAGCGAGAGCGGCAGCATGTCCCTCTGGGGGTGGGATGGGGTTGGGTGGGGTGGGTGGGTTGGAGAGAGCCCGCACCCTGTGTCTCCTTCGGAGGCACCTCTGAAAGGTTGCCAGCGCGCAGCAGAGAGAGCGGCAGCATGTCCCTCTGGGGGATGGAAGCAAGGCAATCAAACAAAACAGGCAGGAAGCTCACTCAAAATACCTCTTAAACAACACATCAGCAGCACAACGGGCATAATGCTATTGTTGCGACATTTCACCTGTTTGTAAATCCCGAGATTTCTCCTGACATGCGTTGAAAACCACATGCAAGCCACAAGAAAGAAGTCGACTTTTGAGTCGACTCAAAAGTCACCTCATTACATCGACTCAAAAGTCACCTCGTTAAATCGACTCAAAAGTCACCTCATTACATCGACTCAAAAGTCACCTCGTTAAACCGACTCAAAAGTCACCTCGTTACATCGACTCAAAAGTCACATGCAAGCCGCAAGAAAGAAAGAGACCTCCCATCCCGCCAACCACCCACCCATGTCTCACCTCCTCCCTGGCCTCGAATCGTCCGCCCTCAGTGAACCCGGGCGGCACACTCAGCAGTAGCAACGAGTCCCCAACGCCCCTCTTCTCTCCTTGCGCTGCTCCCCCTCCCCCACCCCCTTCCGCCCCTCTCTCCAAGTACGCAAACAGCGCCGCTAGCGCTTCATCCGACTCCCCTCTCCCCCCACCCGCCTGCTGCCCCTCCCCATGCTGCAACTCCGCTGCACCCCCAGCAACAGCAGTGTGTGGAGGTGGGTGGGAGGAGAGGGCGAGGGGGTGGGCGGCGCCAGCAGTGGTGCCACGGACGAGCTCTAGGGCGGAGGGGGGCGGGCGGGTGAGATCAAGATACGTGCCCGGGGGGAAGAACAGCTGGGGATGGGGGGAGGGCGAAGGGGGAAGGGCGGGGGGGTGGGAGGGGGAAGGAAGGAGAGGGCGAGGGGTTGAGCAGCAGTGGTGTCACGGACGAGCTCCAGGGCGGAGAGAGGCGGATGGGTGACATCAAGGTACGCTCCCAGGGGGAAGAGCAGCTGGGGAGAAGGGGAGGAAAGGGGAAGGAGAAGGGGGGATGGAAAGGTTTAAGTGGGGAGGGGTTGAGATCCAGATATGTGCGGGGAAGGTGTCACGGAAGATAAGGGTAAGAGCGACATATTCAGTTACATGCTTAGCGGTGATGGAGAAGGAGAAGGGGACAGGTCAGTCAGTAAGTATCAGAGGAAAGAAGCAAGCAAGAGGAGAGGTGTGTGAGTGAGCCGAGGAGCTTCCGACAAAGATGGAGGTGCGAAGGTAAGGGAGGTCAAAACCAAAATGGGTGGGGACAGACATGGGTGGGGACAGACATGGGTGGGGACAGACATGGGTGGGGACAGACATGGGTGGGGACAGACAGACAAAGGTCACTATGGGCGCCTAGAGAGGCAAACGGGGGGCCAAAGAGCGGACAGGACGCATATGGGCGGCAGGCAGGCAGCACCTCACCTCGTCCACCAGCTCTGGTCGCCTCAACGCCCCTCCCTCCTCCTCACCCACGCCCTCCCCTTCCTCTATCCCCTTCCCCTCCCCCTCAACCTCCCCCCACACCCCATCTCCCCATTCCTCCACCCAGGGAGGGTGCCACGCTGGCTGCAGCACGCTGCCCAGCCCGCCAGGTGTCACGGCTGACAGGGCGCCACGTGGCATCCAGTCGTACTGCCACATGGCGTCTTCCTGCGGCTCCACCGCCAGCTGGCGCTCCACGTCATCCCACACAGCCAGAGGGCACAGCTCCGGTAGCTCCCGAACGTCCAGAGGCTTGGGGAAGGGAGGCTTGGGCTGCATGGAGAGGTTGGGCGTAACACAAGTTTGGGGAGAGGAGCTTGGGAGGCTGTGAGAGAGAGGTTTGGAGAGGAAGGTGGAATGAGGGCGGAGAAGAGGAACGAGCTGGCTGCTCTTGCTCCGTATGGGCGAGGCGCCCTTAGAGGCAGTGCATGCAGCAAGACGTGTCTGGGAAATGGAACGACTGGTTGTGAATGTTGACAGGATAGGGCCGAGTGGAGGGGTATGGCGTGGAGAGAGGTGTGGTATAGGCGGGAGGTGACGCAAGTAAGGGACGCTGCACAGCAAGAGAGCAAGGCGGCACGACGGCACGAGAGCAGTGGGGGGAGCCGTGGGGAAGCGAAAGGGGGAGAGGCGGACATGCGTGCAGCGCTGGGGGGCCAGGTGGGGTGGGTGGAAGGGGGGACAAAGGGGGAGCGGAAGGGGGAGGAGCGCACGAGCAGGAAGGGCGGGGGGGCAAGGCGGGGGTGGAGGGGGAAGCTGTGGCGGTCCACGGCGATGATCTCGAGGTGCCCCGCGTGACCCGTCACCCCCAGCGATACCGCCACCTCCGCCACCTCCGCCGCCCGCCCCGTTCTCCCCACTCCTTCCCCGCCACGACCATTCTCCCCTGCGCCTCCCCCCGCGCGCCCCTTCTCCCCGGCACCGTCCACCATCCGCGTCGTCCCCGCCGCAGCTGATTCCCCTCCGCCCGCTGTCCCCTTGCCGCCACGCTGCTTTCCCCCCATTGCGCGCGCTAGACTCTCGTGCGCGCCGAGCTCTCTTGCGCTCTGAGCTCGCGTGTGCCCTGACCTCCCGTGCGCGCGGAGCACCTGAGCTCACGTGCGCGCGGAGAGTATGCGTTACAATTGCTCCTGCAAGGCGCTATGGAACGAATCGGCCAGGGACGGTTTATGACGAGAGATTGAATGACCCGTCAATTATTATGTGACATTTGCATGGATGGTCATGGGATAAAACAAACATAACACATGATAAGCACAGCCAGCATTGTTATGAGTTTTTGTTACGGGTGCAATGAATCGAAGTAGCTAGATTTGCACTAAGGTGTCAAACGAGTACAAAATGTGAGCGAAGGCATGAGCGAACATTTATACGTGAAACATGCAAACAGTAACGCGGTGCGTGCGAGCTAGCTAGTGCTATGCTGGAAACGAGGCTCGGGCTAGTCCCGAAGCGTAGGCCGACACGGCCAGACCAGCAGTGCGAGGTTTGGTGAAACAGTGCGCGCGAAGTCGACGAAGCCCCGTTAGCAGTAACGGGCGAACAACGGATGCTGCTGTACGCGATGTTGCAGGGCGCGCTAAGGAATGTCGAGAAAATTCCTTACACTACCCCCCCTCTCAAGAAAGCCCCCCCGCTATGCGAGTGCGTGTATATCGCGGAAACCCCGGCTCCTCAAGTACACTTGCAGGGCAGGGTGGTTTTCGATGTTGGCCAAGGGCACCCAACCATCTTCAGTTGGTGTGCGACCCTTCCAGCGAACAAGGAATTTAATCCTCCTGATTCCCGTGGGGTGTCGAATCCGATGGATCAATTTTTTTTCGGGTTCGATGATCGGCTCCGATGCAGGGCGAGTCATGGATGGCGGGCGGTGACGAGGCAGTTGGCTTGTGGTTGGGATGTATGGGCGAAGCAGACTGACGTGGAATGAAGGGCTGATGTACCAGTCCTTCGGCAATAGTAGGTGAGCTGTCACCAGGGTAATCATGTGGCTGATTTGGAATGGTCCACAGTAGCGGGGTCGTAATTTCGGTAAGACGGGCAGTCTTAAGTTCTGTGTGTCGAGCAGTACGTAATCCCCTGACTAGTACGTGACTGGGTGGCGGTGGCTGTGAAACTGAACAACAGGAATGAATGAACTATGAGTGAAGTGAGTACAAATAGAAAAACCCTAATTGGGTTGTACCCCCTATGGGATACCCCACTATAGCCTACACAACAGCATAAGCTACATATATGTTCTCACACACCCCCATAGGCAAAGTGGGGGAGAACAAGGGGTCACAAGACCAGTCAAGCAAAGCAAAGCAAAGCAAAGCTCAGGGTGGATCACAAAGTCACCACACGGTCCGAGCACAAGAGCAAGGCCACAAGGCCAGTTCACATGCAGGAGTACACACATATATATATAAAGCTAGACAAGCAAGAGCAGGTATATATATGTGACAGTACAAGTAAAGTCAAGAGGAGAGCAAGTGAGGCAAGACAGGCACAAGACCCAGCTGGGTGCAGAAGCGCTGATGGTCACAAGGCGCGAGTGCCTTGGTGAACACATCAGCAGTGTTGGCCTCAGAGGCCACGTACGCAAGCCGCAACTGTCCACGCTGCTGTAGCTCACGAGCAAGGAAGTAGCGAAGAGCAATGTGCTTCGTTCTGTGCTCCAGACGCTGCTCTCGACACAAGGCCAGCATGGCCTTGTTGTCTACGTACAGGACTGGAGGAGAACGAGGTGGCTCTTTAAGGTCAGTCAGCTGGTAGGTGAGCCAGCGAAGCTCCTGTGCAGCCATGGCCCCTGCGTAGATCTCAGCCTCACAACTCGAGCTGAGAACCGAAGACGAGCGAGTAGCCCGCCACGAGACAGAGCCGGAGCCAAGGCTGAAGGTGTAACCCTGTGACGACCGCTGCGTAGCCTGGTCGTCAGCCCAAGAAGCGTCTGCGTGACCTGTAAGTACCACTGGACTACGCCCTCCAAGCACTAGCCCCATGCCCGACGTACTGCACAGGTAGCGCAATACCCTCTTCGCTGCAGCCATGTGCTCTGGTCGGTGTCTCCCAGGAGCAACATAGCGTGCAAGAATGCTAAGAGGGTATGCAAGGTCAGGTCGTGTGCAGGTCATCAGGTACATGAGGCAGCCAACAAGCTCTGGGTACGGGCCACTCGACTCTACGGAATCATCCGAAGGCAGAGCTGAGAGCGAGTGGCGAGTAGACAGAGGAGTGGCCTGAGGCGAGGAGTACGTGAAGCCGAAGCGCTGAAGGACCTGCTGCACCATGTGTGACTGAGTCAAGGTAATGGTGCGGCGTGCTCTGTCCCGAGTGATCTGCAAGCCAAGGTAGCTGCGCAGTTCACCCAGGTCTGTGCACGTGTGTCTCTTCAGCAGCTCGGACTTCACGTAGGCGAGTCCAGCAGTGTCCGCTATGGCAAAGACCAAGTCGTCGACGTACACGAGGATGTAGAACGGCGGCAGTGAAGTGTCGGTGCGCAGAAACAGTGACGGGTCAGCAGTAGAAGGAGCAAACCCAAGGGCCGCAAGCGTAGTCCTCAGTGTGTCGTGCCACTCACGTGGTGCCTCGCGGAGACCGTAGACTGGCCGTCGGAGGCTCCACTGGGTGCCAGGAGGGAAAGTCCCAGTGAAGCCAGGTGGACGGCGCAGCCAGATCTCCTCGTGCATGCTCCCATGCAAGAACGCAGTACTGCAGTCGAGAGTGTGAAGCTCGTAGTCACGCTGAGCAGCTATGTGCAGCAGCACCCGAAGAGTGGTCATCTTCAGGGTGGGAGAGAAGGTCTGAAAGTAGTCAACTCCCTGCCGCTGACTGAAGCCACGAGCGACGTACCGCGCCTTGAAGACAGGTGGAGAGCCCGGCGGCCGCTTCACCCTGAAGATCCACATGCCACTGACGATGTTCGCCCCAGGAGGGGGAACCACGTCAACGTAGGTGCCTGTGGACTTCCAGGAAGCCATCTCTGCATCCATAGCTGCCTGCCACTGAGAGGAGTAGGGACCCTCTACGGCCTCCGCGTAAGAGCGCGGAGTCGGGATGTCTAGTGCATCCGGGTCTCCCTCAGGAGCAAGCAGTACAGACGCGAGATGAGGTGAAGCAGCAGCCAGACACTGTAACTCCTCCTGCCTGTCCTCTAGGACGTCCGTGCTAAGAGCACACTCACCCCCGACGGACGGAGGACAGACAGACGCAGACTCAGCAACAAGACCAGCAGCGTAGTCTAGACGACAGCGAGCAGCAAAGTCGACGAGCTCAGCGACAAGAGCAGACGCAGCAGCGGACTCAAAAAAGGGGTCAGTGACGACAGTAGCAAGGAGACGCGTGACAGTAGGACTGGCAGCACGAAGAGAGTCCGACTCAGGGTCGGCAAGCGCAGGAAGAGAGGACTCAGGAGGAGAAGGCAAAGGGGCACGCAGAGGAGCAGTGGACGGACGCAGAGACATCTGGTGCGTGCCAGGGACAGGAGGAGGACGCTGACGCGAACCGCGACCACTAGTGCGAGCAGCACGAACAGGCGACGCGGGACGAGACGCAGGCTCACGACGCTCAGCAAGACCTCGAGTAGGACCAGTGTAAGGAGAGGGAGCAGGAAGTGGGGAGGTAGGCTCCAACAGTGACTGCGACTGGACAGGCTGTGGACACTCTATGGGAGGAGAAAGACCAAGAACCTGCTGCAGGAGCGGAACGAAGTACGGCCGAGGCCGCGCGGCAGCTCCAGACTCAGCAGGGACAGCACCAGCACCCTCAGCGGCAGCACCAGCTCCACCAACACCTCCAGCGGCAGGACCTCCAGCAGCACCAGCAGCAGAACCACCGTCAGGACAGACAGCAGTAGACTCAGCACCAACACCCTCAGCAGCTCCAGCTCCAGTAGGACCCGCAGGCCCAGCAGCTACGGGACCGGCGGCACCAGCACCCTCGACGGTCGAAGAAGCTCCAGCTCCAGCAGCACGCCTCCAGCGGCGAGCAAACCACTCGCGCAGCTCCTGTGGAGAGAGGGGCTCCCGCCGAGACGCAGCACCAGGAGAAACCCCAGGCTCAGCAGCTCCAGACGGAGCACCCCCAGGCTCAGCAGCTCCAGACTCAGCACCCCCAGGCTCAGCAGCTCCAGACTCAGCACCCCCAGGCTCAGCAGCTCCAGCTCCAGTAGGACCCGCAGGCCTAGCAGCTCCGGGACCGGCAGCACCAGCACCCTCAGCAGTCGAAGAAGCTCCAGCTCCAGCAGCACGCCTCTAGCGGCGAGCAAACCACTCGCGCAGCTCCTGTGGAGAGAGCGGCTTCCGCCGAGACGGAAGAACCGGAGAGCCCCCAGGTCCAGCAGTCGCAGGCTCCGCACCTCCAGGCCCAGCACCCCCAGGCTCAGCAGCTCCGGACGTAGCACCCTCCGGCTCAGCACCCCCAGGCTCAGCAGCTCCAGACACAGCACCCCCCGGCTCAGCACCCCCAAGCTCAGCACCCCCCGGCCTCGCACCCCCAGGCTCAGCACCCGCAGCAGGACCAGACTCAGCAGCAACCTCGACTGGCTCGACTGTGTCTACCTGGGACACACCTGAAGGGGCAGGAACCTGAGGGGGGAGGGGGTCTACCGGGGGGGGAACTGGTACCAGGAAGTCCGGTGGGGGGGGGAGGGAAGGAGTACGGTAGGGGAAGAGGCGGTAGAAGGGGACTGACTCGTCGAACGTGACGTCCTGGGAGGACAGAACACGACGAGAGGAGGGGTGGTAGAACTGCCACCCTGGAGCGTCAGGGGGGAAGCCAAGGAAGACACAGGGAGCAGCACGGGGGGACAGCTTGTCCGCAGACAAGTCGCGGACAAACGCCCGAGATCCCCAGACACGGAACGCAGACGCATCGCCGACCTTCCCCGTCCACAGTAACACTGGGGACATCGCGGGCCGAGAGACCCTGGGGTGAAGGTTGAGCTGATGCGCCGCGTACCGAACCGCAAACGGCCATAGAAAATGGGGGGCAGCCGCATGCATCATGGACGTACGAGCGACAT